GATCGGCAATATTCTTCACTGAAACCAATAGATCGGCAATATTCTTCGCTGAAACCAATAGATCGGCAATATTCTTCGCTGAAACCAATAGATCGGCAATATTCTTCGCTGAAACCAATAGGTCGGCAATATTCTTCGCTGAATTATCAATCTTCATCACTGAAACGAATGATCCTGTCTTTAAACCCAATAAACCATCAATATTCACGACTGGTCCCAATGAATCATTAATATTTGACACTAAACCTGCCAAACCATCAATACTCATCACTGAAACCAATAAACCATCAATATTCACCACTGGACCAATAAATCAGCAATGTTCTCACTGAACACTGTGATTGATCAACAATGCGTCAGTGAAAACAGTAGACCATCAACAATCCATCTCTGATCCCAATAAGTCGTCAGTGAACCATTGCTGAGTGTAGGAAATTATCGACAATCCCTCGCAGAACACAGGAAATTATTGACGATCCATTGCTGAGTGCAGGAAATTATCGATGATTCATCATTGAGCACAGGATATTATCGATGATTCATCATTGAGCACAGGATATTATCGACGATCCATCGCTGAACCCAGTGAATTGTTGAAGATCCATTGCTGAACCCAGGAAATTATCAAAAATGTATCATTGAACCCAGTGATTCATCATTAGTCTGTCACTGAACCCGATCAATTGTCAATAATCCATCACTAAACGCATTAAATGATCAACAATCCATCACTGAAGCCAGTGATTCACAAGTAACCCATCTCTGAACTCAGTAAATCATCAAGAACTGATCACTGAACCCAGTGAATGATCAACAATGAGCCCATCTAATGATCAGCAATCCATCATAGAAGTAACTACATAATCAATGAATCGTTGAAATAAGAAATGATCAAAAATTCATTACTGATCCAAGTGACTCACAAATAATCCATTTCTGAATCCAGTAGATCATCAGCAATTCATTACTGGACCCTGTAATCCTTCAACAATCCATCATTGAGACCAGTAAATCATCGTGATCAACAATGAATGACTGAAACCAAGAAATAAAAATCCAATTCTTAAACCAGCAAATGATCAACAACACATCGCTGAAACCATTAATCATTTACAATGCATCGCTGAACACAGTAAATTGTCAACAATCACTGATGAAACCCATTAATTTGTTACACAACTTAATAAAATGATCAACAATCTGGCACTGAACCTAGTGAATGATCAGCAATCCATTGATGAGCTCATTTAATTATCAATAATCCATCAAAACACCCAGTACGTGATCAATGATGAATCTCTGAACCCGAGAAATTATCAAAAATCCATTACTTAGAGTCATAGAGATGTATAACATGGAAACAGATTCTTTGGTCCAACTCATCCATGCTGACCAGATATCCTAAATTAATCTAGTTTCATTTGCCAGCATTTGGCCCATTATCCCTCTAAACCCTTCCTATTCATATACCCATCCAGTTGCCTTGTAAATGTTGTAATTGTACTAGCCTCCACCACTTCCTCTGGCAGTTCATTTCATGCGCGCACCACCATCTGCGTGAAAAAGTTGCCCCTTAGGTCCCTTTTAAATCTTTCCCCTCTCACCTTAAACCTATGCCCCTCTAGTTTTGGACTCCACCACCCTGGGGAAA